TACTTTGGCTACTGTTTTACCTTGTAGAAATCCTGGACAGCTTTGCTGACAACAATCGACTCGGCCTGTACCCTTCCCACCAGGTACTGGATGTACTTATTAAACTCTGCTCCGTGCTTGATAAAGCACATGGCCACGTCATCATCAGTGTCACATTTCTGCAAGCCTCGGAGGAAGACACTGTGGAGACAAAGAAAAAAAGGAGATGTCCTTTGATGATGAGGAGAATGTGATGAGAAGGTGATGGAATGAGGCTAGACCACAGCCGCCAGACTTTTAAATCAGGCAATTTCAGGTTAACGCAGATTAAAAGAATTGACTGGGGGAAAAGAAGGATGTTGCCACATTAGCATTAAACTTCTCAATGCCTCTTCATCCATCATGATGCTGTCCCTCTTAGCTTGAATGTATGAAAAGCCCTGCAAGGAAGGCAGGGATAACTTTCAAGGGCTTAGCTCAAGGTGGGAAGTTAACCCCTCCCTGGATCCTTATGCCTCAGTTTAAGGATCAATGAGCCATCCACATGAGTGAAGATGGAGATCCCCACTTTGTTTCATAGAATCATAGAATTATTAAGGTTAGAAAAGACCCTTAAGATCATCGAGTCCAACCATTAACCCAGCACTGCCAAGCCCACCACTAAACCATGTCCTTGAGCACCACGTCTACCCGGCTTTTAAATACCTCCAGGGATGGGGACTCAACCACTGCCCTGGGCAGCCTGTGCCAGTGCCTGACTGCCCTTTCGGTGAAGAAGTTTTTCCTAATATCCAACCTAAACCTCCCCTGGCGCAGCTTGAGGCCGTTTCCTCTCGTCCTGTCACTTGTTACTAGGGAGAAGAGACCGACCCCCCCCTCACTACAACCTCCGTTCAGGTAGGTGTAGAGAGCAAAAAGATGTTTCACAAAAGATGTTGAGACAGGTTCACATGCACAAAGATTTTTAGCAGTGTCAAGTAGCTGATAACATGCATCACCTCTTGCAGTTGAAAATACTTTTGGGGAAAAACAGAAGGAGAGGGAGGGAGAAGAGAGAAAGAGGGAGGAAAGAGAAGGGAAATCTATTCTTGTGGCCTAGCCAGGAAAAGTGCCAGATGTCCCACATAAGCGTCCTCCCCACTGCAGAAGCGGTGCCCCCCATAATGCTTTTCCCAGAGTAACTATATACTTTTCATTGCAACCTGCTCAAACTCCCTATTGGTTGCTCCTGCTTACGATGCTGCTAGCACTGGTCGGAACACATGTGGATCGGGGAAGATTCTGCACACTCACTGGTTGTTGAGCTTTGTGTGTGCATATTATTAACGCTTCCCCCTGAGGTAAACCAAAATTTAGGACCACAGAGTAGGAAAACAGGGAAGAAAAGGTGATTCTCGTGCTGTTGGCAGGGACTTCCCATGAGAGCAAGGGTATCGAGGTGCAAAAGGAAGCCCTCTAGCAATGGCAAGCCTAAGGCACGTAAGACGTTGTACAACACCTCCTCTCCCTGGCAAGTAAAGGTATTTCAGCCTGGACCTTGGGAAGTCACTCTGATCTGCAGTAAATCCTTTCTTGGAATAGGCAGAGGCATTGTGCCACGGTGTTGCACCTGGGCAGCTTGCTACAGCTGGGTGTGTTTTGAATGCATGGAAGCTGGCATCAGTTTTAGATGAATGTATGTCTCTATGAACACACCATCGAAATGCCTGTAAGACCATGCTGCCTTTTTACAATAATTCACTGTTTCTCAAATAAATTCACTTAAAAGGGTAAGAAACAAGCTGCACATATGAAGCCTTGAAGCTCTGAAGGGTATCATGGGAGTCCCAACCCTGTGCTCTGCCTTAAGCTGTGCCATCATCTATCATCCCAAAAGGACCATCAGTTCCCTTGCACCTCAGCACTGCCAGTGCTCCACATCCTTCACAGCAATAACAGTTACTCTGGCTCTGACACCAGGTATGAGAGCCACTCTTTGGTCTCAAATGAAGGCATGTGCGAATGCCCACCTGGAATGGAAGCGAGTAATGTCATCAATATTTCTGAAGATGGTGCATTTCTGACTGGCGACAGCTCCTGGGACATTGGGACAGGTCTCAGTGTACTTAAGGTGATGAGTCTGGAGGAACTGTAGATCTTGAATGTAATCCTCTTCCGAGATCAACAGCTCTTGAATAAGAACACTGAAGGGAAGACGAATAGGCAAAAAGAAATCACAGAAAAATCATCACAATTATCCTTGACATGCTGAGAGACTTTTAGGCTCTAAGTAGAGATACATGATGAGAGGAACAGACTCCCTGGAGTGTGTTGACTCGATCCCCTCTGCATAGACACCCTGCTCATGGAGTGACACCTACCTCTACCTTACAGACATCTACCCTTAGGGCAGATAAAACAGAGCGTGAGTAACAAAAGGATCTATGTAAAGTAGACAGTAGCAACTTCAATGCTACTTTATGCAATCAAGAAAGCAAATGTCTCCACGAGAGCACACTCAGTAGTGTGCTGCACTGCAAGGGAGTAACACAAGCTTGAGTGCTTTCACTCCCTCTCTAGACATCATCCTCAGATATAGGGCACCCCACAGTACAGAGGTACTGTAGTTTAGGATTTTGTGAAATCAGAGAGCTTCTGGAATTATATCATGTAAAACCCTCCTTTCAAGTCATCCAATATGATTTAGATTGCCTGGAATTTTCCTAGGCTGAAATCAATGGCAAAACCCTGTCAAAGATCACAAATTCCAAGTCTGAGAGAATCAAGGGTTTGCTTGATTCTGGGAAAGAGGAGGTGGCAGGACTCAGCAGAACAAAAACAATGACTCTGACGGGATGGAGCAGGAAAACTCAAAGGTGCAAATACCAAATGACACGAGCTCACCTTAGCTTCCTTTTATATTCGTCTTCAGAAACAAACTCTCCAGGGAACTCGGGAGCTTCTGTTGTTCCCCACTCTGGTGACAACTGAAATACAAGAAAAAAAAAAAAAAACATTATTCTTTTAAGTTAACAGTGCTTTTATCAATGCACACCGAGGAATATCCTTCATGTGTTCACAGTCCCTTTCAACAGTTTCTAAACCAGTGCGAAATTCCTTTTTTTGCTGGAGGATGATTAGGTCTTCCAAACCCAGACACCCCTGCACACATACAGAAATACTGTCTAATCAAAACATGAAAAAGTCCAATCATGTTACAGACCCCTTCAACAACCTCCTCATCCATCACTCCTTGCAAAACGGATGGCTCTAAACGGCAACAGGAACAAGAAATTTTTACATGAAAAACAAACACAGCATGATCGGTCACCTTTAATTTCTTGTCCAGATAAGCTGGAGATACCCAACCCTGTCGAGAGGGGCTAGATTTTGTGGGTTTAGTCCTGACCAGCCATTTCAGAGGATGAGCTGAATCGAGGACTTCCACATATTGGCCTTCCTTCAAAGTGATGGTCTCCCTGTCAGGCGCAGCGGGCACATAGTCAGCTGTGACCATGTAGACGTCAAAGATCTGCAGGAATGAAACAACAGTTATTTTGTGCTCTCAAAAAAAGAGTTCAGTAACACCAGCAGAACATAAGTGCTTGTCTGCGTTTAATGTATTCTGCAGCCCTTGTACAGCAAAGAGAATCACTGCTTTTTGCAAGTGGAAGACTAAGCCTCTAGGAGGCTCAGGCCATATTTTCAAAACAATCTGAGGTGTTTTGGATTTACACCATGAAACAGTGGATTTTTCTCCCCAGGAAAAGCAAACAGTGGTCCTGAAAATGTCAAAATACGTTAACATTTCCAAAGTTTAATTTTTTTTTTTTTTAGGAAGTACTTGAAATGAACACCCAAAGTTCTAATTTTCACAAAATTCTCATTTTTCTCATGAAGAACTTCACAACAAAATTATGCTGACTGACTCCATCCAAGGCCACAGAAAATCAAGCTCTGACTTTCTGAAGCTCAGCCATAAAAGCAAAAGGTGCCAAACAATGGGTATGTTTTGATCATGTTGACTTGAACAACTTGTTCAAGATCACACAGTGAGCGTCAGAATTTGATTCTCTGTGCTCTATATCACAGACCCAATATTTAGCTACTAAATATACCTACTAAAGTGAAGTACATTCCTAAAGGGGATGGAGATCCTTAAACCACAGGAGATTGGTCATTTTAAGCAAAGTTTTCTCCTTGTGTCAAGCTTGTCCATAAAGATATCATACCTCTCCTCTGGAATCCCCATCTTCAGATTCAGAGGAGGACTCCTGAGCAATGGATGAAGGCCTGGATCGTCCATGCCGAGGAGATGCAGAGGGAGTTTTTGATTCATCATCACTTTCTGCACCTGGCACTCGAAGTGTAGCTAAAAGGCAGAGCAACAGCCAAGTGTGAAATAAAAAGCTCCAATCTGAACATAAACCAAATATATAATAATTTTCAATTTCATAAAAACAAAGATTCCCTAGGAAGAGCATTTGTAGTATTTAGTGTGATCTCCCTTTGATATTTAGGATTAAATAAATAATTGGGACATTTTAATACATGAGGTTGCATGCCTACTGCATGTATTACCACTGCACTGCCAGAATATTTGTAGGAGGTAATGCCTCTATTTTTGTTTCAAGATAATATTTCACTACAAGATAATCAGTATATGATACACAAACAAAGATTTTTCATTTAATTCAGCAAATCATTGGATTACTGCACAGCTACGCACACAGTTTTCAGCCTCAGCTTGATTTTAAAATCCCATTGTGAGGCAAAACTTGAAGATGCGAGAAGTCTTCAAAACAGGATTGCTTTCAGACTCAGGAGTGATGAATACCTGAGAAACTCGAAATACCTAAGATGTTCAAAATATACTTCCATTTTTACAACTTGCTCCCCACTCTAAAGCTTACAGCTACTCCTGCTTATCTGAATAAACACTGTATGCATAAAATGGACACTAGCTGTCTTACTTTACTATAATAGCTTTTTTTCTAGTTCAAAACTGCAGACTAAGACATGCAGTTTGGATGGACTCTTACAAAAAATTCTTAGTGCTAAGCATTTACAAATGTTCATATGCTTATGTAGGATGACTGTCTCAAAACCTACTTCATAAATCTCCCTGATATTTAAAGTCCAAATGATACCTAAATAAAAGTTGAATATTTTTCTACACTAATTTGTGGTTGCGAGGTTCCTTACCCTGACTTATTTTTGCAGATACCATTTCTGAGATACGCGAAGTGAGTTTCTGGAAGAACTCTTCTGAGCCAACATCAGCTAATGAAATAGGGCTTTTGGGTACACCTTCTCTACCAGCTTCAATGTCTCCTAGAAAAAGAGAGATTTTTCTATTAAGCAGGAAATGTCATTGTGAAGCAATTTTTTTTGAGTAACAAAAGCTTCTGTGGAAGGAAGGTCTAATTTTCTTTACTTCCTCTGTTTTTAAAACTGTGCTTGCTCACATTTCATCCAAATAATTCACCCTTGAACAGAGACCAGTCCTGAAAAGTTCCAACATTTCAGACAATTTCAAGAAAACAGGACAAAAGTAGGCGGCAATCATGACATACATAGGCAATCTCAGCTGTAACTGTGAAGGGCAGGAGTAGGAGACAGAAAATAGCTTCTCTTACCTTCTCTTGTTTCAGAGGGATGAATAGCTCTGAAAAAGAAAGAGTAAAGCAGAGTTAAAAGTTAAAATAAAATGTAGTAAGGAGAGCTAAATGAGAAACAATCCCTCCTTCTCACACCTTGTACATGAAGGCTGGGAATATCTAAGTTAGGACTCTGGTTTGGACTGCAGGTGCTGGTAGCCGATACTCACCAGGGCCACTATAAGAAATGAGAATTGGGGCACCTGGCTCATACGGGCACAGAAATGCTTGGATGTCTTAGTCTTTGAGCTAAATCCCATCTGAGAATTCTTATTCCTGACTTATTTCAAACTGTTGCTTGAGAAGACCTGGCTGCTCAGGGAGTGGGCTGCAGAACAGAGTAGCATCCATCTCCCTGGTGCAACTGGGACTTTATTCCCAGCTGACACTGAAATAAAACTATTCCAGTTGGAGACATTATGTCAAGTGGGATCTGTAGGCCCAGTCAGTTTGCAGTGAACTAATGCTCAACAATTTCCAGTGGTTTCACCAGGAAACCAAGGACTGGAGAATATGCAGATGCTGTGGTCCTGCCAAGAGATCTGCTCCCATCACATCAGGATGCCTGTGTGTTGGGGAACCAAGCTGACTACTGGCACTGCAGTGGTTTTGAGGTCCAAAGAGACCCTTGCTACACTGACAGCTTTTACCAGCAGCAAATTCATTTTTTTTGGAATGGGGCAGGAGACTATATTGTCAACGCCGAGTGAAAATGGCTTCACGCACGTGAAGAACTACCAGCATTTGCTTGCGTCTGATGAAGAGTGTTTGTGGTGTTTCCCAAGACTACAGCTCTGTCAAAACACTAATATCCTGAAGTCAACATCTCTGCTATTCCTGTGCTATTTGAAGGCAGGATATAAATTTTCATTGCACAAGCTGATCTGCCTTAATTCTCTGTTAGTACCTCGGAAGCAGGAGGAAGCTCACTCCACTTGATATATGATAAACCATATATCACTAAATACGCCTAACAGAGCCTGGGCACATGCTTGGAAGAGGTTGCAGTGGAATAGCTGAATTCACACTGCAGCTTTCTTCACTTCTCAGTTCTTCAGAGGAAGACTGGTCAAGCCTTTTAGGCTAGACATATTCTAGAAGCTAATGTGTGTTCAGGTGGATACTGCTTTTCAGACTGTATCTGCCTAGTATCCAAGCCAAGAATGGCAAATTCAGGGGGTTATTCTTCAGGTGCATTTGTAAACAAGAAGTTTCTGTGCAGTCCCTTTTCATCTACTTTTTCTGTGAAGCATCAGTGTATTTCAATGTTGGCAAGTAACAGTCACACTTTCACCCTGTGAATTTTTTTGGCATTTTGCTTAGGAGATGAAAAAGTAACAAGAGTTTTATATGACCTGCTCAATTTTTTTTTTTGTCCTTGTTCCTATCCTCCCTGATAATCAAGCATAAATGGCTGACAGTGATACCACAGTATTTATAGCACTTTCCATCCTAGGACCTCAAACTATTTTAAGTCTGGTGCTGAAACATGAATGTAAGATGGCCAAATTGAACACTGCCTAAAAGTGACTCAGGGGAACTTCTGCAGGGTGGTACCTGCACTGCTCCATTTCAGCATGGGTGGCCAACCACTTACCCCAGCGTGGTCATGATGGCTTCTGACACCATCACGCGCTCTTGGGTCAGAACTTCAGCCTCTTTCACTGCAAGATTAGGGTTTATCATTAGAGGACAGAAGGTAGAGAATGTTCTTTTTATGTATTTAATGTAGGCACATTTTCTAGACACGGATTACTGGGAACACTGGAATACTGAATCTGCCCTGTTAGCAGCTCCTGACCTGGGATACATACTCCCATACATATGATGGAAATAGTTCGCTCCTCTCCCTGTTCACGTAGATTTATGATCGTCCCATTTCTCTGCACTGCTCAAGCTACACTCCTGTAGCTCTTGGTACAGCAAAAATGTGGGATGCAAGGAAGGATAACAGAAAAATGGAGTCCTTCACAGGGCTGCCCCTACTCCCAGCCTATATTTTCTTGTCCCCCATCTTACTGAAAGAATTGTGTCAGAAGAGGCCCTGGAAAGCTCTGCAAAAGGGGAATCAACTCCAGCTGCCTTAAGGCAATTCTACAATGCAAAAAACCTTAGCAGAGTGAAGCACTCAAAATTATTTTTCAAATGGTCACTTTTTCTAGTTACTTTATATTGCCTTTCTTCCTTTCTTTTTCCTTTGTGCTTAATTTGGTTGTTTGTTAGACTTGTCTTCTGTTTATACAGAAAAGATGCTGCTGTTAATCCAAGATACGGTGAGAAATCTAAAACATTATAGAAGTGAAGAGCGTAATCATTTGCAAGGTAAGCAAAGTCATGGCTAATCTTGGGAAAATGCATTTTTTTCAGTTGTGGTTTGATTAATTTCCTTATCAGTCACGCTTGTTTTTCTCTTAGGCACTGTATAAAAGGTAACATAGAGAATGTGTTTGTATTGTAACAAAGATTTACCATCTGCAACTTCCAGGGTGGCGGTGCAGATGGACTGGCCAGCCTTGTTGGTAGCAATGCACGTATAAGATCCACTGTACTTCTTTTTAACATCCAACAGGATTAGACTGTGATGCATATTTGAACTGGCAAGTTTACACCCAGGAGTGTCTGGTTTGATGCACAGGATGCCTTCCCGAGACTCTTCTTTCAGCCAAGTAATAGTTGGTGGTGGATGTCCTAAAGGAAAAACCAATGCAATGAGCTTTAATTTTCCTAAGGGTGTTCCTTCCTTACAATTATGAGCCATGCTGTAAATAAATGCTATTTTGATCTGTTTCCTGATACTTTTGCAACAATAACAGGCATAATATATAATAAAGGAACATAAACCTTTCTACAGCATGCTCATAAGGACATTAAACCTTTTTGTAAAATCATAACTGTTAATTAACACATCTTCATAAGACTAACAAGTGTTACTATTCCTGTTTTTATATACAGGAAAACAGAGGTGAAGATGAGTAAGATGCATTTCTGTAAAGCACATGAAGTCTTACGAAGTTGGGAGTAGAGTGCCAGACTTCAGATACGGGAGAGGAGGTTACAATGACTTAGGTCAGAGAGAGTCTAGAAGGTCTCATGAAGTTACACAATTTAAGTGTTATGCAGAGAGGCATGGGATCTATCCACTTACCTTCAACTTTTACAGATAAAGTGATGCTTGCACCTTTCTTCACCTTTTTATTAGTAAATCTTTCTAGGAACCTTGGTGGTATCAGCTGCTCATGGGAATCTGAAAACAACATTATTGATGAAACATGGTGACACCTTCTGTGTGAGTTTAGACTACTGAAAAATTCCTAGGTGTTCTGTTATCACCTGCTATGGCTTCTCTCACCTGTTTCTGATGGCCCTTCTTTCTCATAAGGATCTGTAATGCAAGGAGAGAAAACAAGATGACAAATACAAATCCCTTTCTATCCATGAGTTGAAGAAAAAAAAAAAAAAAGTTACTCCAGGGAACTAATCCTTGCAGGAGATATTACACAGAAATGTTAGTATGATTTGTAGGAGGCCCTCAGTTTTAAAAAAAATGCCATTAAAGTTAATGAAGTTAGGCAGGAATAAAATGTATGTTTATGAGACAAGAGTCAGATCCTAGAGAAGTGACATGTCTCAACTTTGGGACACACAGTAAATTTCTAGGTGAACCAAGATTAAAGCATGTCATCTTTTATCTACAGACTTCCCCACCTCACTTGACTTACCTTGGTAGGCTTTCTCAAGAAAAATAACTATATAAAATGGAAATAGCCACTGGAATAGAGAAAAGCAGGTGCCAAAAATAGTCCAATACTTACCTTTGACTACCAGCCTGGCTGACGAAAATGCAGAACCAGCAGAGTTGATGACAAATATTGAGTACTGGCCAGCATCTGCCTTAGTGACGTCGCGAATTTCCAGTGAGTGGAACTCCTGTTTATCAGTCTTCAGGATGCGATCCGAGGCCTTTAACGGCTGTCCATCTTTGAACCAATAGAGACGAGGCTGCGGGTACCCTACGAGGAGCAGTTACAGATATGGAGAACAGAATGTATTGGCAACATCGATTTGGGAGCATCTCCAAACAAGCAGATCCTTCTGAGCAGGTGCCAAGGAATCTTAAGCTCTGCCCAGGGATGCTGTTTCAAGGATTTACCCAATTAGGAATTGCTGCAAATTAATGAAATTCTATTTATCTGTTAAAGTTCTTTCCTGTCTCTTCAGTTTCTGGTACTCCCCATATTGGCTGCATGTACAAATGCCTTCCTGGTTGGAAAGGTAACACTTAGGTCTGATTTGCAACGTACATGAAGAGAAAAGTTGAAGGCAAAACAGTTCACATCATTTTTATAGGCAGCAATTGGAGAAAACAGGAGAATCCCTACCTCTCCCTACCACAGTCAACACCAGGAGGACATTTTCGTAGTTTTATGTTGTAGCAGCAATCCCCTCATAAAGTAAGGCAAGTCCAGGACTGTTTCATTTATTAAAGAGACTAAAGGACACCCTTGCTATCTTTTTTTATTCCTTATTGCTCCTCCGTAACTAATGTGCTCAGAGAATTACAGGACTCAGTTTTCAGAAGTGTATGCCTGTAATTATGCCTGGAGACATGGACACAGAATGAGACACTTAATCTGCCTGAGTCTGCTGCAAAAGTCAATGTTCATCAGCATGAACACATTCTTCCAGCTGTTTTGTGCAAATGTGGTGCAAGATGCACAGCCGGGGGTGACAACTGCAGAAGAGCACATCAGAAAACCTTGTCCAGCATTTCAACCTGGCAGCAAACCTGGAACAACTGACAGTGCTGCGGGCTCCCCTCACCTTTCACCTTCAGGTGAAATTTAGCCAGTGATGCTCCAGGTGCCACATGTATATCATGAAGCTCATCGAAGATCTGGGGCAATTGCTCCTCCTCAGTGGTAGATTCCTCCTGTTCTCGGCTGAGAAGCAATTAAAATTAGAAAGAAGAAAGTCAGCAAGCCAGAAAAGGGTTAGGAATCAGAATCACCTATTTTAGGTTAATTCAGTCTGTGGGTTTTGTCATCATGACAAGAGATTCAACAGCATATGACATTAAAAGTAATGGAGTGACACCATGAAGACATATCCAGGCTAGCCTGAAGGCAGCCAGAACAAGTTTGCACATGATAAAGGTCCAGCTAGCTGTTGCAGTTATTACATCTCAGCTGATCTGGCTGTTCCTTTGTGACATTAAACTGGTCCTGCTAGATACAGCAAAACCAGTCTTGACATAGATATACATATTGATCTTATCAAATCAGAAGTTAGAAAGAGCTAGAGTTCAATATTTTACCTTGAAATATATTCTTTGGCACTGTAGTAAGAAGATGTCTCTGTTGCATCTGCTGCTGTCTCATAGTCAGTGCTGGTCACTGTTAAATGGAAAAGGAAATGTTTTCTATAATCTGAGCTTTGAAACTATTTTTCTTACTATAACTATAGTTTCCCTACTAATTTAAGTGACTGGCAGGTCGATTTCACACTGCTACTGCAGCAGGATCCCACATGTCCCTGGATGATGGCAAACACCTCTGTTTATCTGAAAAGCTTTGCTCTGAGCCTTGCCTTGGAGTTGGCAAAACCCAACTGAACACACGAGGTTTGCAAATGAAACATTTTGTGGGCAACACATTACTTTTTTTTTTTTAATATAAATGGTGTTTTTCTGGAAATAAAGTTTATCCACCTCTCAGCAGGACCCCTTCCCTTTGTTTTTCTACAGTGATTTTGAGACTTACAGTCCACTCGAAGCTCGGCCTTGGTTGATGCAACTCCCATGTTGTTTTCAGCAAGGCAACGGTAAACACCCATGTCAGTGGGGACCACAGCTGTGATGATCAGCTGATGGCACCCTTCCTGGTCCTCATTGATCATGTAATGATCGTTTTCTTCAATAGCTTTCCCATCCTTGAACCAGCGAACTGTGGGGAGCGGTTTGCCAACAACAATGCAGTCAAAGCTGACTGGATATCCATCTTGTACCTCTTGGTTTTGGAGCTCAGTCATGAACACAGGAGCTAAAGTCAGGGTAGTTAGGAGAGAAGAAAGAAAAACGTGGTTGTTTTAAAAGATGTATTTTAAGAGCACTGCTGCCCAGTGCCTGAAGACTTCTGGTTTCTAGGTTTTTTAATTGCAGAGTGGTATCTTTTCTCTATGAAAACAGTCAAGAAGAAACTCCCTGACAAACACGATGAAGGTATTCCATAACACCATAAGCATTGCAATACCACAGCTGCAAACTATACATTACCTCTGTTCCTCTCCTTGCTGAAATGTCTTGTCTCCCTCAGGACTGATCTGAAACCCATTTCATTTATTTAAGTATAATAATCATAGCATTTATGGCCATATTATTGTAGTAGGGGACATTTCTATTGTGAAAAGCAGCTTTGTAGATAAGTCAATACTTTGCAACCCCCTCCTTCATCACTAGCCTCCCTCCTCTCCCTCAAAATGAAAAAGAATAAAAAATTCATCAGTTTTTCCAGAAGTGTAAAGTTTCCAGAAAAATATCTGCACGAAATGAAAAACAAAGGCTTTTTGGAAGTTATTTGTGAGGGACAGGATAACATTCTGAGCTGCTCCAGCTATCTTTTCCAAAGAATAAACAGGTTTGCTTCACCTACCTGTATCAGAAGTTAGCAAAGGTGGTGGAGGTCTCACTACTGGTGGTGCAAACTTCCCATGGGTGGGTGGTGTTGCCTTCCCAATACGCAATTCAATTTTTTTAGGGCCTTGTTCCAAAATGTCGATCTCCACGGGAATTCCCAGAGCACCAAACATCTCTCTGAATCGAGTGGCGGCAGCTTTTGCCTCAGACAAGATTTCAAACTTGATGTAGATGTACTGGTCATCCTCACGATACGTCTGATGGTCGACCACCTCTATATCCCCTTCATCTGCACTGACAAAGAGCTCTTCCTCCACATCAGATATCTCTGTTGAGATCTTGGCTCTGAAGAGTCTATGAAGTCTCCTTCCTGCTTTACGGAAAGCATCATCCAGCTCACTGCCAGATGAGCTCTCTGTCTCACTGTCAGTGCTTTGTTTAACCTGCTTCTCCTTACGAAGAACTTGAGGTTCCTGAGTGCCGATAACCACCTTAGCACTGTGTGAAACCTTGCCAAATTTATTGGATGCTTCACAGGTGTATTTACCTGCATCTTTCCTGTCCAGGCCAGTGATAATCAAAGAGCAGGTCCCATCACTGTAATTGTCTATGTGATAGTAGCGACCATCTGAAAGCTCTTCCCCGTCTTTCAGCCAACGGACTTTCATGTCAGTTTTGCTGTGGGCCACACACTCAAGGTGGAGAGTGCTTCCAGGCTCACCAGAGAAATCTTTGAAGGTCTCAGTAAACACTGGGCACTCTTGTTGCTTGATCTCTTTCCTGACTTTGTAGCCTTTGAAAGCAGCCTGGATCTTCACAGCAGCCTTGTTCATGGAAGGATCATCTAAATCTGGCATTTCTGGTTCAGCTGGCTTAGCAGCTGGGGCAGCCACAACAGTCTCCACACTGGATTTCTCCCACTGTTTCCATAATTTGTCTGTGGAGATGGACTGAACCTTGCTAGTAACACTGACACTTGTCTTCCCAGCTTTCTTGAGGTAGTTCACCAGTGAAGGAGTCCCAGCTCTAGACTCATCGTCTGAGCTTGTGAAAGAGAAATCTGCTTCTCCTGTCCTAGCCAGCTCATCACACGTGGAGTACTCCTCTGAGTAATAGTGAGACATCTCTGCTTCCTCCTTCCTCAACTTCTGAAGCTTCTCGTCCTCTTCAGGCACCTCACTGATGGAATCCAAGGTGGGCTCCCGGCTCATCCGGCGTTTCTTGGCCAGGGCTTCCCACAGGAGGTGAAGGTCTCCCTCCTGAGCAGCCTCAGGGGGCAAGCTGGGCTGGACATGGCCATCCACCAGGTCTTCTGGTTGGCTTGCAGGGGATGCTTCCCTGGCGATCTCTTTTAACATTGCAACTGTGGGAACTGAGGAGAATTAAATTGATAAGATGTTAAAAGTCTGTGAGTAAGCTCTAAGAAAGCACATGGAAACGTTATTCTAAAGCCTAGGCAGAAGAATATCAGCGGCATTTAACTAAGCGTTCTGTTGAGAACAAAATGTGAAATTAATCTAACTGGACGTGGCCCTGGGCAACTTGTTCTAGGTGACCCTACTTTGAGCAGGGGGGTGGACTACACTATCTCTGGAAGTCCTTTGCAACCTCAACTATCATGTGATTCTATGCATGTGCATAAAACATGGCCAAACAACTTTTTTTTTTTCTTCCTTGCACATTTGAACCCAATAAACAAATTTCTGCCCTTTTTGAATGTTGCAGTCAATGAATATCTGGTTAAGACTGTCAGTGGAGCCTGGAAAGCTATTCCAGGCTCATCCTATCTTACAGCTAGACAGGGCTTCACTGACTGGCTTGAATAGATTTCCACTGGTTGTAATGGGAGCAGAGACTCCCACTTCATATGGAGGAATCTGCCTGTAGATACTTTGGTTTAGATGCATCTGAATCTGAAGGTTGTGACTCACCCTCTGGGACAGACTGACTTGCCTCTGCATAGGGCCCAGTGCCATTTGAGGTGCTCCAGGCTGTCTGGGACATCCACATGTGGCTCTCAGATACAACACAGGATCTGTGAGTGCTCTGGGTCCCTCTAGAGAAGGAGGTGGAAGCCAGGAGTGATATCCTGAAGTGCCTCAATAGCACTAGATGCCTTTCTGTGGGCCACTGAATCCCACTGTAGGGGCACAATTCAGCTTCCTAAGCACCGTGACCCAAAGCCATTTGGAATGTCTGGGACAGGGGGCTGGCAGATACCATGCAGAACACATGAAAGAGCCCTTACTTTCTGAAGTGGCAGCTGAAGGCTGGGCAGAATACCCTAACGCATCTCAAAAGGCACCAGAAACCCATGTAGAGACAACTGTATCACACCTTAAATATCTGACTCAGGAAAACCTTATCTGAGCAGCTCAAAGCTGTTAGGGATTCAGAAACATACTGGGCAATACCGAACAGGAAGACAATGATTCTTTGTGGATTGTTATCACAGCCTGTAAAAGAAAACGAATTCCGGTCCAAGCTGTGGAGACGCCCCTGGATGTTCATAAACAGAACTGATTTAACATCACAGGAATGCACTGTCTGTACCTTCAAGACACAAGCTGGCAACAGATTTGACTTCTGGAGAAACCATGCAGGTATACGTGTCCTGATCTTCAGGTTTAAATGCATGAATAATGAGTATTTGCTTTTTTCCATCAGAGAGGATCTCGTATCTCCCTCCAGCTTGTATTTGTTCTTTTCCTTTGAACCATGTCACTTTCTCTTCAGTTTCACTTGATAATTTGCACTCCAAGCGAGCCACCTCCCCTTCCGAGACTGATCCTCCCACCAAAGGATGGGTGACTGTAACTGGAGGCTCTGTAATTACAAAAAAGTGAATTAAGACAAAGAACATATCATAATCTGGCTTTAAGGCACTCAAGATCACTCTATAAAATATCCAAGCATCCCATCCTTCATTTATACATTTTTTAGCTGTTGTAGACAACCAAAGAAAAAAAAAAAAAAAAAGACTGGCAGCATCCAAAGTTTGCACTTCCAAAGATAATATCAAAATAACTTTACAAGCTCTCCCAGTGGTTAAACCAGCTCCATTTAAATATATACATGCAAAAGTGGCTGCATTTTTCACATTCCTGTGTTTATTTGCTGATCTTCCTTTACCCATCACCAGTATTCAAGCAGTCCTACAGATTCTAGAAGATCTTAATGTTTAGAAGTGAAGCAGTTGTGAAGTGAGACAAGAAAGAAACAACAACAACAAAAAAAAAAGAGATTATTAAAAGCAGCATTCATCCCAGTCTTGAAAGTAAAATATATTTTTCTTTTTGCACTAGCTTAGGAAGAGTAAAAATTCTCCAAAAAAGCATAAAGAATTTAAAAATAAAAATTCTCTGTATCTTCTTTACTTTAGAAGGAGGCCTGACAATGGCATGCTCTTTGCATGACAGCGATACTCAAAATGAAGTCAAGACAAATGCATTAAACATGGAGATGTTAACTGGGATGTAAAGCACACAGCTGAGTTCCCAAAAGCAGCACGCTCCTGAGCGTGATCTGCCTCTCTGCACACTTCACCAGGGTGAGGGGACCCCTGCCCAAAATGCCTTGGGTTTGTTGTAGACAAAGTCAGCATATGCAGAGTTATCAGGGTTCAGCACTGGCAGCTGTTATCCTGCAAAAACATCATTGCATGTCTGAGCCTTAAACAAAAGAAGATTTTTTTTATTATTATTCTCACTTCGAGGAATTTGTTGGGCACTCAGCTATCACAGAAAGAGTTGCAAGAAAAGAAAGATTGAGGGAGTGGCTCTCCATCCCACTGTAGCTTCCAAAGTTTCACCAACAGACAGCAAAGGAACTGTGTCCTCCAGAATTTCTTTGTGGGGTTATTGAAAAAGATACACAAATAATATAAAGAAAGAGAAAGATGGGTGAAGAAGACAACACTGCCCACCCACTGCATTGGTTCCAGGGTCTTGGTTACCCTGAATGCATTCCAACATGCCCCTTTTGACTCATTCCATCCTAACTCCACCAGAAAAGAAACTCATGGTGACCGGACAACACATGGATGCAGTGCAGGCTGCAAGACAGCTTGATGCAGTTTGAAGAAAATAAGTGTTGAGTACTAACAATGCAGCAGGTTTTGTTCGTAGCAGCCCAGAACAATTTTTCCAAGCTCTTTCTCCTCTATTGTGTTGGCAGCAAAGCACTGAAAGACGTTACAGAGTGAACTCTTCCAGGAGATGCCTGGAATGGGTGAAGCAGGCATGCCATGCAAAACACAAGGTCTACAGCAGCTTGCAGTCCTCCATGGGGGCATCTCTCCATTCTCACCTAGCCGCACCATCTGAGGGAAGTGCACCGGCTCGCTGGCCCCAACTTTGTTTATAGCCGAGACGCGGAATCTGTAGGGTTCACCTGGGGTGAGATCGTCCACCATAAACTCCGTGTTTTGAATAATGACCTTGCTGCATGACTGCCAGCCAATACCTGGGATTTTCTTCTCCACATTGTAGCCTAGAATGTCACAACCGCCGTCGCTCAGCGGCTTGTACCAAGACAGAGTTACAGAGTGGCTGTTCTTACTTAAAACTTCTGGTTCTTCAGGTGGATCAGGGTGGGCTGAAGGCATAACAGAGGTCCCGTGATGTAAGACACGAGCAATAATGCTTTATACTAAAACAACCAAGAGCCTTCTACAAGCAATGAGAAGAAAGAGCAACAGATTCAGTATTTGTCTTACTGTAAAGTTGAGTGGGTGCATGCCCGTGACCGCGAGACATACCTGCGCACCATTGAGTTTTCCCTTGTCTGCCCTGATCTACACTGCTAATGACAAACATTCATTTTCCAGCTGTCATCTCACATAATGTCACATATTGTTGTGATTTTTCCTTGCTGCTTTGTCCCACCCAGCTCCAAATAAAGATGACCCTACTCTGTCCATATTATCAAGGACCTTAGCTGAAAACTTCAAGTACATTTGGGCCTTGATCATATTTATTTCAGGTCTGGCCTTAATAGAAATCATGTTATTGTTGGACCACAGAGTAACTCTAGTAATTTAATAGCAAGTCACTCAATTTCTGTGAGATTGCTATATATGTCACAGCATCAAGGCAATAACAAATAAATACATAATGGGAATGGTCTGGTGTCCTACCAAATTGCCTACTGACGATCATACTCAGTACGTTGGAAAACGTTCCTCACTTAATTTACACTTCGGCTTAGAAGACAGAAATAATTTTTTTAGTCTTCAAGTTCAAGGCATTTACCAAGTAAATGACCTGCCACAATGTACCAATCCAACAAATTAAAGGCAAATAAGGTCAACAGAGAGTTCTTTAATTCTGGACACCACAAACATAACATAAAACCTTCTTTTCTCTATTTTCAGCCAAATTTCATACAGAAAAATCTATCACCAGGAGGGGTTCATGAGGATAATATTTTGCAGCTCCTGAAATGTAGGTGCCCAAAATAAGATAACGCTGTTTTAAATCCATCAACAACCAATTTTTTTTGTGGAAATGACTGGAATATATCAGAGATCTCTCAAGTCTCAGAAATCATTAGACAGACAGACTACCTGTAATAATTTAAAGAATGGATGGTCAGTCAGTGTCTCTTGAACATCTTGACTATAGTGTACAGCTAAAACACATTGCAATTATCTCATAACCATCACTGGGGTTGTGCTTGTGTGACCATTGCTGGGTGACCCACCTATCCCACTGTGGGAAGGAGCCAGACCTTGGGTGCTGGCAGGGACATTGATGAATCATTGGTCTAACCTGCCCCACGAGGGAATTGGGGAACTGTCATCTTTTCTACTTGTGAAGTACTCCAAGAGCTATTAACTCTTGTATCTCTGAAGTACAAGGTGTGTGTTTCATGGCTCTCACCCACATAAAGATTTTAATATGCAACTCATTAATCTGGAAAACTGGTTGCCCTGCACTTGAGTAGATTAGCAGATTTCAAAGGGTTCTCTGCTGCTCTGGATAATTTTTCCATGTGCACTCTAGTTCAACTCCCTGCCACGTCCATGTTTGCTGAGAGTGATGTTGAACTCTGAGTAAGTTGATTGCCTTTAGACTCTATGTTACATTTTACAAAAGACTGCAGCTAAAGAAAGCTGGTGAACATCTCTACCACCACTAGCCTGATATAATTTTCTTCTGATGAGGTAGAAGACTATTTCTGGTCAAAGAACAAGTTGCCCAGTGGCATCTTCTCAGACTAAGAACACTAGTTTGGGACATGCAAGGCAAAGAGAAAAGAATCAGTACAAAGATTAGAAAATTCAATGTTGTAGCTCAATACCAAAGTCTGAGGTTTCAAGTGCCACTGGGCTAGAACGACAAACTTACCTATAACAGATAACTTGGCTGATGCAATTGCTTCCCTGGAAGCAAAGGTCACCTCTCCAGAATGATGCGGTTGGGCTTTTTTCAGAATAAGTTTGTATTTGTTTCCATCTGCTTGTACCTCCCAGTCCTCATCTGACTGGATCTCTGTATCATTACTATACCAGGCAACTTCAGTAATTGGCACAGCTTCACTTAGGATGCAGCTAAATGTAGCTTTCTCCCCCGGCGAGACTTCCACATCTGTGAGAGGCTGCAAGATCTGTAGGCGCCATCCTGTAGATAAAAATAGGTAATCAAGTCCTCAGTTACAGAAACAAATACAAGCAAGAGACTTTGTGAATATTTATGTTGAAGCTTGGGACAGCCAGGCCTTGGAGACCAAGCAGATCATTAAAAGGGAGGTTATGTGTATCACTAGACCAGAAGGTATCCTTGGGGACTGAAACTTGGCAAAACTTTCAGGAGAAAAACCAACCTAACAGTCTTTCTTTCCCAAGTAGCAGAAAACCACAGTGGAGATACCATGCTATGCCTTGAGGATGGCTGTTCTTGTACTCTTAAAAGGGGTTCTGATCCCCACAGGGGTCTCCAGTAATAGCATAAAATACAAAGATGCAGAGATAATATTGTTGCTGATATAACTCTCATCTCTAAATCCCTGAAGTACCTACAAACACAACCCAACTCATCAGAATAATGACAGCTATAAGGCAGTCATTTGCTGCTAACTCATTGCCAACTGGTGCTGCTTATATCCGTCTCATGGCATACGGAACAAGAAAAAAAGGAAATTGTAACACATGATCCATTTGTTTTGTGGGGAGAAGATTTGGGTAAGAAGCAAGCAACAAATGCAGCTTTTCCTCTCTGCTACTCGTCATATTTTCCTAGTTCATTTGCCTTTTCCAACCAGAAATTTAAGCCTCCCCACGCACATGTGCCTCAGTTACCTTTCACCGTCAGGAAGGCCGAGGTCACTGCATCACTGCACATAAAAGTCACCCTGCAGCTGTCCTGGGGAGTTAAATTCTTCAGCAGCAGAAGATGCCTGCGTCCATTTTCAAAGTAAACCATCTCAGTGTTTTCTGTAGTTTTGGCAGGTTCATCGTCAATCAGCCAGTTGTAATTGTAGCACTCGGGCTTGGAAAGATAACATTCAAACAGGGCTTCCCCTCCTTCCACGGCTTCCACATTCTCCAAGCCCTGGACAATGCTGTTCTTGGCTAACAAAGAAGGACAACGAACAGTATTAATTGTTTGGCTGTGTATATCTGAATATTAACAAGCCTTGGAGCACTGGATGATTCCCACTGCTGGAAAGCTGATGGAAAGGATGTAGATGTGATAAACTCTGCTTGTAGGTTTAGTTGTTGATTTCAGCCATGCTCTAACGCAATTCTATATTTAAAAACATTTTAAGTAGTGAGATAGTTTAAAAATAACGATAAACCTCTAAGACCTCTAACATTTCATCTAGACTTCCTCCAGAAACCTGACTTCTGTTTTTACAAATAAAGAAAAAAATGTTGGTGTTTATGTGAGTCGGGCCAATAGTTGATAGAAAGGGATAGCTCAGGAAGATAAAGTATAATCAAATTCCTTCCGTCCCACAGCAGGAGACATTTCCCACAGATCTCCCAGGCAGCACAATTATCACCACAATTGGGGAGATGTGAATCCACTGACAGCTCATGATAAAATCTTGCTACCTTTCATGCAAAGCAAATATGAGAGATTATTATACCTGGCAAAGCTATAGTGACTATCATCTAAGTTAAAAAGTCTGCCTCTAGGAAACACAAAATGTTAAAATCTGTATTAACAGTATTTTGAATAGTAAATTTCTGAATTATTACAAAAGCTCTGTGATAAGGTATTAAGTTTATTTTCTCATGCATGTGTGGTCAGAAACATGCACATATCGCCACACTCCATTTGCCCGCAGAGTCATGCATCAGTTGGCATTTGTACATAAGCAATCAGCCTGATGTAAAATTAAATGTGGGCTGGTGCATGTGTATATAATTCGTGTTAGACCAGTTACATGGACATACTACATGCACAACAGTGGGAACATGCAGTTGAATAAATGGTCAGCATGATCAATAATATAAACCAATACCCTGAGACATTCCTGTTTAGATCTTTAGATCTCTATAATCATTATGTAGAACTGTTCTAAGAAAAAAAAAAAAAAAGCAATTTATTTAAAAAAAAACCAACAAAAACATGAGTTACTAAAAAATCCTGTCTTTTATAATATGATTCTATGATTTATATTTATAGAGAACAATGAAGGGTTTGTAAATCCTTGGAGAATGTATAATTTTGTTAGAACAAATCTCAGCTGTTTATTTGTGTGCTTTTGGAGCGCTGGTTTCTCTAACTATGAAAAGCAGCCGATTGGAAATCCTGCCTCCTCTGGGATGCTTTTAGATTACATTCATTAACATCTTTTTAAAACCCTAAAATAGAAAGTGTTTGTCAATGCAAAAAAGATTATAAATAAATAATACCCTGCTCTTCTGTACTCACAGCTCTGGTCAAAGAAGAAGGTATAATTGCCTAACAAACACAAATATTCAGAATTTACATCAGAACCATTGCTCTTACCGATCACCCTAATTCACCTGATGACCAAAACCAATAATTCCATACACAGCAGAAAAAAAAAAATCAATATAAAATCCTAAACCTATTGATAATATTTCTATTTACTGTTTCTCAGGGCCTTCACAAATGCTGACGCCAAGTGAGAAGGTAATTCCTGAGTGATCAGTATTTGAAATAAGTAAAATACCAAGCTACCTTAGCTTAGCTGAAAATAAAATGAAATTCCACACTACCCATTAGCTACGGGTTTTAAGGCACACTGTGCGTAAAAAGCACTCTGTAACAGCAAAAAGTACTCTTATTACTCCTTTGGATCAACATTACATCTGTGATTTTACAATAATTCAGCAGG